TTTAGTATCAAAATTTAAATGAGAAAGAAAAAAATATTATTACTAAACATTTAAGAAAACTATTTAGTATGACTCTGTCTAATATGTTTGTGGGTTTTAGATTATAGTTTTGGTTTTAGTGAATTTTGCAATTAATAAAAATCAAAACTAGAAATAAAAAATTAACAATTTTTTAAAGATGAGTTTTAACATTAACAACAAAAAATATAAACTTATTTAATAATGGTAAGACTATTTTTGTTTCTTATTTCTCTATTATTTGTAATACTATATTATAGAAACAAATAAAAGTAAATAGGGTTTTTAGTTAGAGTTGCAAAATTATAAAAACCAAAAACTACAATCACAGTACATGAAGCCCAAGTTTCTATTTCTCCAGTTGAGCAAACTTACCCATTCACCCCCAAGCGAAACCTGCAATTTGCCAAATCTATTTTGATGCTTATCCATTTCCCTTACTACCTCCCTCAAATCTCTTATTTCCGCCGAAAGCTGACCTACTTCCTCCTCAAGCTGAGCTTTCAGCTGAGCTTTCATTGAATCCATTGCTGCCTTAAGCTGAGCTTTCATTGAATCCGCTGCCGCCTCAAGCTGAGCTTTCATTAAACCCGTTGCCTCCTCAAGCTGAGCTTTCAGCGTTTTCACCTCAAGTGGAGCTTCCGTTATTTTTGCCTCATCCTATTGCAGGAGGAATGAGTATGTAGCTAAAACAATTGGTAATAGTTGATTTGAGAGGATGTTTGATACAATTGTTTCAAATTAACAATTAGTTCTTTTATCTACTATGATAATGAATAGTAGCATTTGAATTATTAATGATAACAATTATTAATGATTGGATTCAACAAAATCGCTAATTGCTAGCTTTCAACTGCTATAACCTATATATACGCTACTTGAATTTCAAAAAACTGCTTAGTATTGAAAAAAAGTTAAAATGGCAATTTTAGTTTCTCAACTTTAGAGTTTTACACAGTTTTCATCCCTTAACTGTTTTAAGCACTCTTTTGGTCCCCCAACTCTAAGAAATGCACCTTTTTTTGTCCTTCTAGTAATTAATTTGTTAAGTTTGTTCATATATATATATACATTTTATAAGTTAAAAGGACTATACATATATAGACAGAATTAACAAACTAACTAACAAAAAGACCTAAAAAATGCTTAAAATAGTTAAGGGATGAAAA